AATAATAGACAGTGGATGTGAAAGCGTATCGTATCAACGAAAAGAAGGAAACAAACTTCGAACTTTATTTGTACCTTGATACATCTTTTTAAACCTGTTCACTACCTAAGTGATGCTTATCTCCAAAGGGCATGGAAGTGACCAAAACACAAGGTCCAAATTGCCTAATTCGCTGCCCACCCGCACCGACTAACATTCCTTGTTCTATGTATTCCTGGCAACGTTTTGACTGATCGATTTCAGTTTTACCCGGAAAAAATGATTTCTTGCACGTGTGCAATTACCGAAACGAAGTCATACGAATCAAATGATCGTCGGAGCTCCGTAATTGTTAATTTACCGGGTTTGATATTATAAAGGAGTTCCGCGTCTGGAGTGATCTGGAAGAAAGCAGAAATGATGATTCGCATATACCATAGGGTTTGCGCAAAGTCGAAATGTGAAAATCAGATCCATCGACAGTAGAGGGAACACAAACTATGTGGGCAAAGAAAGTAGTGATTTTTTTGGTCCACATGGTTGATTTTAATTTTCGTCATACGCGCCTCCTCATCCACCAATCCATGCACTTCGGTCTACGACCTTCGACCAACCGCGGACCAGGGACGCACCCAGTAGCTTGAAATCAATGTGTCTTTAACTGATGAGGTCCAGTGCGGATAGAAACTGGATTGAATATTAGGCTTCTAATCACACTAGATGAATAGAATCGATTAAAACTACGAGCTCTAAATAACCGTCTCACAGCCGGATAATCCCCATTCAGTGGACTTTCATTCGTTGTGCTTTCCCGAAAACTAACCCTACTTTGGAACCAGTGTATTTCTATGCTACTCAACCGTCTTGAAAATCTCTGGTGAAGTGATCTTTTGCGAGTTCAGTTCTGAAAGCTTCCGTTTTGACCATCGCATGGGCTGAAAGAGCCGATTAATGCGTGAGCGTTGAACTATAGAATGTTTTATCTGTTCGATCTTCGTAATAAACATAATTTTTTTCTCTCATGCAGCGACATGCTTTAAAGAGAAAAGGTTAATCCTCGACTGAATAGATTAAACAACACACTTAACTTACTAGTGTTTGTAACGGGTCGTGTGTGATAAACGTTACTGCTTATGCATTAAACTCCATCATCATGAACAATCCTCAGACCATTCAGTCAACCGTAGGCTTGTACATACTATTGAGTCTAGTTTTGCACTCATTAGATCTATCAGGGTGATATAAATGACTAATTATCTCTCGATACGACCTCTGGACAAAGAAGAACGGGATATTCTGATCAGCTCTTGTGTAAGCGCGTTGTCAACGAAGCAACAAACACACTGTCCACGAAATGGTTCTGGTGACCAGAATCCGGGTGGTACAGTGGATTCTTAACACGAATGTGCACTCATGAAAGCGGAAATCAATTCCACTGATTCTACAGAGTGCCGTTTATTACCCGAGCTGAGGATTGTGCGTGCAGACGTAAGTATTATGAGTCAAACACACAGAGACCCTATAACTTTTTAACTTCGAGTGAATCCGCCGTAACCTCAAGTGAATCTGTTGTAACTTCAAGTGAATCCGACCAATCGGACTACATGGAAACCCCACAATATTATAGGGGACCGGATCTGTCTAACCCCTGTTAGAACACTGTTTTTGATCTGTTGACAATATGTATTTAGTCTTGATTTCGCGCTTTAAAACCAATATTTCCAAATCTATACGTCAAAAAAGCACTGTGGTCAAACGTCGGCGAAAGTATCCACTTCCTTAGTCATCAACGGATCTGTCCGTCCGGTTTCCGAGAGCCCAATAACCGGTTTGTATTTGTTTGGAGAAAGAGAATAAAGAATGCAAAACAACCCGCGCTCATCGTGGAGTACGTTGGTTTGACCTTGATAGCCTTGAGTCTGCACTCGGCTCCACCGCACTCCACGGCAGGTGGTACGAGTTTGCGTGTTTGCGTGTATGAGAGAGGGGCGGAAGGCATGTTTACATGATTAATGAGCCGATACAAGTAAGTACCACAACTTCATCGCACTAACCCCTCAAAAAAGTTGGCTGATGACGATGATGCGATCGCAGAGTAGGATCGGAAAGAGGTGGAGGAGAACAAGAACAACGAGACCGGTCCGGTAATCATGACCACTCAGGAAAATCGAATTAACAAAATGAGGTTTATTAGCTCCATGGGAGAAAATTTAGCCGGACAAATTGCATATCACCTGTGGATCGACTAGAGCGCACCCGTGCGGATGTGCGTGCAAGCGTGTGCGTGCGTACGCGTTTTTCGATGGACAACCTTGTTTCGTAAGGTTGGATAGTTCTGTTCAATGTCTGGAATTTCTCCAATCAGACTAAATATACATTTGTTAGTAATCAGATCAGAAGGTGGATTTTCTGATGGGAATTCGGTGCGAGGGCCGGAGTGGGGTGGGTTGCGTGCCAAATAAATAATTGTATCACTGATTTTAATTTTGCATCAAGTCAAGACCGTTTTGAATCCGTTAAGGGGCTACACAACATTTGTCGTACTGCGTTTCAGTTATTTTCACATTTTTGTTTTTGCTACATTTTGCAGCAGATTCATGCTGGAGTGTTATGCGGGCTGGCTCATTTTATCTCCCTTGGTTCCTTTAGAAACAGACGTAATTGTTTGCTGTTGTTTCTCGAAGTTGGGCGTAATCATTTCGTTTTCTGTTGACTAAAACTCCGCATATCTTGATAATTCATGTGTACTGACCACATTAAACTCAGAGATATATGAATATGTCAACGGAAACTAACCACGCGGGGATAACCTAGATCAACTCGTCGAGAAATATACGCACGATTTTGCTCTTTTAAATGGTACTCATTACTTTTAGTATCTACCTAAAATGAATCGTAAAAGCGATTGATAATGGAGCGTATCGATCTTTGCACAGACTATCGAATTTTTGAACGTGGGTAACAGTTATGCTAGTATTAATGAATGCTATCGAGGTGCGCATCCATCTGATTAGTATTTTCACTTCCTAACGAACATCCAAACACTGAAAAAGAACCATAGTGAAAGTACTTATTGGAAAACTTGATCTACCCACACAAAAATCAACTGCTTGTCACAAAAAGAATGTTTGCGTGTGACAAAGTAACGGATTAGCCCGTCACTGGTCCGTCGCTTTAAACCTCTAGAATTGACTTAAGTATCTCGATTAGCAGCCAGATTCATTCAAAGTGCAAACTACGCAAACCCCAGAAGAAATCATCAGGGAACGTGCCAAATTAACTGCCATTAAATGGATGAATCAACTCGCTATGTTGAACCTGGGATGCAAACGCGTGCCCACATCTTGCTAAGTGGAACGTTCCCACAGCTTGACGATTACACCAACGGTGGTGTATATTATCGTCAGCATTATCATCATCATGAAATCACCCAGGAGGTAGTGCTTGCGAACTCCATCATTACTGCCTGTCGTTTTAGATTTCTAAAATCCACACATCTACTCATGTTTGACCGCTTATCCCCTTCTAAAAGCTTTCTTGTATAACCTAATAATAGAAATAAGTTGATTTGATAAACTTGAAGAGAAGGTACACATCAATTTTGTCTTTCGATTTCTGCCAAGGTCACTTTTCAGAGGTGCCATGCACTGTGAGACAGGATGTATTACCTTGATATCCAGAAAAACATGATTGAGTGTTTGAATTTACCTGCGGTTGCAACTTTCTAGACCGAATCAGGTGATAATTGGATACTGGAACCTGGGAATACATTTCCAGATGTGTTGAAACGTCACAGACCATATGCATCTTAACATCTAAAATAGGCCACTTGCAAAGCTAGTCACACATATGAGTTCATCCAGGTGTTCAGAGTTAATTAGTCCGGAGCACTAAGGTAAACCTTTGGGAAAATTCGGAGCGGTTAACTTTCACAGGTTAAGATCATTTTCATGCACATAGAAACAAATCCGAACGGATTTCGTACTGCCCTAGAAACGTCATACAATCTTCAAACAAAAGTAAAAATGCAAATTTCTCTGATCTTCCTGAAAAAAATTTATCTTCTTGATCGTATCTTGACTGGCTAATCATAATCGATCTGTAACGCATCTGTCTGGTACCCGTTTCGAATCAATGTAAGAATGCAGTCCACTAGCTGCACCAATATCTAAATAATAGACACAAACCTTTCCGAACACATTACTGTCGGATCATGTGGCTGAGTTCAATCCTGTCGTTCCATAACGGGGAGAATTTTCAATTCGCACCAGTGGGTTAACTGTAGATATATTCATAAGACATTTTACATGTTATCGCTGGCCTATTTCACATTTGGTGACTGTTTAGATGTTCTCCAGGGCTTTATTTGGTATGGTCGGATATTTAGGAAACTAAGGTAACTGAAAACCAAAGTACCTCTTACGCTTAAGTAAAGTGATACTGCAGTGAATGGAATTGCAGCGATACATCTTGAACAAACCCATCATGGTTGACAAAAAGTTATTATTCCCTGTCACCATTTTGCCTGTGTTGGATGCATCTGGTATAAAACCTCATCTCACGTCTGAAACTCCTGTGGTTCCACTTGCACTGAGCACACTGTTTTAGGCACTGAAGTGAGTGACACTTCAAATTCTCGGATTTCCGTTAGGAGCACACTTTTTCGTCGTGTAACTTTTTGTTTTGTCAAGTTCTCAACATAGTGTGCTTTATTCACATGGTATGAATATCTAATACAGAGTAGCATTTATGGTGCGTTTGCTGAGCTCCATTCTATAAGAGATGAACAGCTCTCGTCAATGCTCCTTTGGTGGATTAATACCGCCCATATTCCTGTTGACTTCATTTCTCATTTTCGTGATTATCACACAGACAGTATCACATTAACCAAACATCTATTCATCTGCTCTTCAATCGGTCAATTATCACACCGAATCACATCCGTGTCACCTGCAGAGAGTGGGGACCTCATCTATTTCATTTTCATTTGGTTCCGTTTTCAAATTCACCACGGGATACAGTGTCTGGGAAAGTGAATACCATGGAAGTGGCGCTATCTGGTCCAAAGTGGATGTTTCACTAGATCTGGTGAATCAGACTGGTCAAACGCTGGAAACCGCGTTTGAGTATACACCTGTTCGTCTTCGAGCCCAACTAAATGATCGAGCTGGTGAGTTGATACTTTTCACGTACATGACTATCCGGATCGCGATTGTTGTGGTGTTGTTTTAACCCCTTATTGCACATTTTAATTTCACCATTGATCCCTCGTCTACTTAATTATCCGGTTTAACCGCACCACGATTGCATTTGATTCGCACTTTTGAAGTTTTTGTTTTCGTTCGAGTACCTTCTCTCTCATTGATATACTCTTATTCACGGAGATCATTGCGTACACGCGTTTTGCTTATGTAGTGTTTTGTTTTAATGAGTAAATACAGAGTCATAACAAATGGTCCACTAAGGTTTATCTCTGATTCAAAAACGCGCATTCCCAGCCACGAACAAATTCTTTTTCAGCGCGGTTTTTCAATGAAGGAAATGACAAGCGTCCTTTTAGAACGCTTTTGGTGCAGGTTTGAAGTAGATTAGTTTCAACCCTTGTTATCTCGGTTTCGGCATCGCTAGTTATGTACGACCTTTCATTGGACACGTTCCTTCTGCCTAGTATCATTGTCCTTCGAATCATATGTGCAGCGAAACTCAAATGCTTCATAGAAGACGCAAGGAAGAACAGTATATTCATAAAAATGACTACCTATTCATATCATTTGGTATGATGAAATCGATCCGAGAAAAAAGCGGGCTGTAGATGAGGGTGGAGCATGATGAGGATTAGTACAGATAGAGACAGATGTAACCCATGAGTTCATGCACTTCTATCGTCTGGACGGATTTCCTCTATAGCCACAGACCACAAATCTGGTCCGGCCAAGTCGCATATTGCATGCAGTTCTGTCAAAATCAGAGATCTTAATTACTCTCAGCTCGATTTAGAACGCCTTTCAAGCCGTGTTCCACGGTTTGAGCATCGACACATACCCTATCACCGTGGTGACATGCGTGTGAACTGTATACATGATGGAGAATAACAAGTTCAAATAAATTTCAGAGTCAGTCAAGTCAAGTCAAGAAAAGCTTTATGCGTGAAGATCTAATATCCCAAGGGTGGGTGATACACCTATCCTATGTCTCTGTGCAGTTCATTATCATGCTGCAAGACAGAAATGCCTGACTGTTCTTAAATTTAAACGGCTGGTTGGCTTGGATTTGGATGAACGATAAATGATGCTTTTACTGCTGAATGAAAAGTAGATCCGTTTGCCTCGCCAAATGATGACTCGGGAACGAAGGCAAACATATTTCAATGTTTGACCGTTTCCATTTTCGCTAACCCGCCAGTGTTCTCTGTAGAAGTAAAAAGCTATTGCACGACCCTCAAGCCACACATCACAACATACTTTGTACAGCACGGAGCTTGATCGCAATATGTATGAGGACGAAATGAGCAAGCGGTAAATAGTTTTGTCTTACAATAAAACAAAAGACCCTAAACAGTCAGAAATTTGTCTGTGGTTGTACGTCTCTGATCTCAACTCCCACAGGATCGATAAAACATGAAAGACAGAATGCCGGAGGGCTAAACCTAATGGAATGAGTCGGGCGCGCTGTCTGAAGATGTGACTTTTATGCTCTATTTGTGCCATAAACCTTTCCGGTCTTTTGTTGGCTATGTTAGCAGGTAGAACACAAACCGGGCGAGCGAGCAAAGCTACGCATCCATCTGAATAGTTTTATCAGGTGCCCTTTTGGGATGACCTGTTCAAAACATAATTCTCCATAAACTCTTTAATTCTACTAACTCAACTCAATGCCACACTATTCACCTTGGGTCTCAATAAGTTTCCAGTCACAAATCTTGTGGCCCTGACTTGGTGATATGCTTCAATAGTTGCGTCACAAAAGAATCGCTCGTATAGGGACACAATTTGTGCAACGAAAACTACAATTTGTGAATCGAATTGAAATTTTTTCATGAAAATACTTCACTTCGCGTTTTTCATACTTCTTTATCATCTTTATTAAAGCTTATTCTCGGATAAATGGCATATACATTGTACCACGATCTACACTGCATCATTCTATTTATGCAAGCAAAATTTTTCGATAACTGATGCAATAGAGGCATTTTTCTGTGATTGCCAACTTAGAGCAATAGACAGATGTTTAACCCTAACTGAGACATATCAGCAATGCTATTCGTGATCCTTTTTTTTGTCGAGATTTCAAAAGCACACCACTGGGTTAAGGAACGAAACCTTTGCGCTGGAAGTCTACGGTCTACGTACAACACTTTGTCGCTGAATGTCATTCGTGGAGCTGAGGTTTTAGTCTCCCAAACAGGGAGTTGGCAGCTTGCATCGCGGCGGAACTACAAAAGCATCCGAAACGTTTACGCAGATCGCAAATGGGAAGATAATAGTCTTAATAAAACATTTTCTCCTCAAAACCGGCCAGGAATAAGTGATCTCCCTGAGAGTAATAACCAGCCCTGCAGAGCCTACTGTGTATCCAGGGAAACCCATAACCTCATCCCCTGGATTTGAAGTGACGAATCACACTGGACCTCTCTACGTTAGGTGTGGTATTGATAAGGTGGACAATAAAGCTGCCCACCACCAAAGCTATGTGACTGTTGCAGCGTTCGAACCTCGTACCCTAGGGCACAAAGGACGCTGATAGCAATGGCATAACCCATTTATGCAAATAGGACCCACTGCTTACGCATGGTTCATTTCACCTGCAGTCGAAAATTAATTGATTGAAACGTTGTCTTGTGTATTTCATGACAGTACGATAAGATTACCTAATACTTTACTTCAAACGGGAATCTCATCACCTCCGGAGAAGCTGGTTCAATAAGACTGTTAAATCACTTGTCTCATATGATTTTAAACCACCTTTGTTTAGATGATTAGTGTTGAACTCGTTTCCTCTGCCAAGTGCAATCTTGTGTTCACTTCAGTTTTGTTTAAATGGTATCAATCCAGTGTTAAGTTTAATCATAATTGGAATGAAATAGTCATTTTACTACCTTTCATTATTGAACTCAGCGTACATAACATATCTGTAAAATGTAAATTACGCAATCCAATACCTGATATGAAACACACCTGTACAACCTTATCCGTCGAGGCGGAATCCAGGGCTTCAATGGAACGCTTGACCAGGTTAAGTGAATAAACAAATTGGCCATTGAATTGCTATAGTTTCGAGGAGTTTCTATATTTACCCCACAATGGTTGATTTCATTTTGACTACCACAAAATACACACAAAGGAAAATTGAATACCAATTGTTCTTCTTTTTCGCACTTACTGAAGAACACTGCTTCTCGGAGGGCTACTGTTGCTGATGGTTTTCATACGATACGCAGATAAACATAGCGATTGCATTTCGTATAATCCTCATTTGTCCAATACAAGCTACAAACTTTGACAACTTCACATTACGAAGTTTGTATTCTTTCTCTATCACCAGCCAAATATCATGCACTTCATATGGAAGCGTGTTACGCCTCCCAAGCTCCAGTAGACGATCAGGACAGTGTGGAGTCTCAAGAATATCCAATGGTAATCAAAGGGTAAGCCCAACTCTCTCTCTCTGTTCAGAACGATTGGCTTGAGCCACTAGCATTGACATGGTACAGTGACCTTCAGGGTCAAAACATAATTGGATGTGTGACAGATGTTTAGTTATTTTCCGACTGATTTTTCGGGAAAGAACCTTGTTCAAACTCACGATTTTTTTTAAGTCACGTGATCTCTATCCTTCGCTGCACTTTTAAAGTCAAACTATCGATTGCATTAAAGAACCTTTTATTTGGTAGTACCATTGAAAACATTCTCCTCAGTAAAAAATTGGCAAGCAAATAATATATTAGAAGATATCGGTCATTTTCGGACTATGCTATGCCCTTCTGGGCACCCAACCATCTAAACCCAAGTTGAACTATGATTCAAGGTTTCGAAATGTCAAGAGACCCACAGGTGATACCAATGATTAAAAATTAACCTGAATCTCTGACATGAGCTACCAGAAGATCAATTCCTTGAAGACAAAGCAAACTGAATAGCAATGAACTGAGCTTCTTCATCGATTTATTTCAACCCCGGTTGGCTATGATGAGTATTACAAACGCATCGATCGAAACAGACTGTACCCTTTTGGACCACACATGTAGGTCAAAAGAAACCCATAAGAATGGATAGTGCAGTTGATGCAGGGCAAATTCAGAATAACACTAGTTTATTTCCTCTCAGTGATGCTCAGAAAAAAATAGACACAAATAAAAATAACATAGCTCAGCAATAATTCTCGCGCATTATTCACTCAATAAGATATGCTTAGTGAATGACTTAGTCGCTCCGGACGAGGGGTAAAACTAAAGCAGACGGCTGTGAGAAGGAAAACATTTTATGTATCGCCTAAGCATATCCTTTATCGATTTGAATGTTCAAATCATTTGGCCTTGGTTTCTGGTCAATGGACGTGTGTGCACAATACGTTTTGCGTACAATAAGCCATGAAATCACAATAAATGACTATGGATGGACAAAGTCGAATAGGATTCAAGCAAAACTGAATTGTATGCAGTTTAGTAACTGTATAACTGTATATGTATATATAATAACAGTTAGTAATTGGCAAACTCATAACAGTTTATCAAAACGTCATCCTGGTAACTTTATCGTCCAAGACACTGTGTTAGCTATTTGTAGGCTTATCTGAGAATTTTCGAAAACCGGTTGGCATTTGCAACTCAAGATACTCGGACAAAGCTTGCACTATGTATTATATCTCTAATTTTTCGAGGAATACCACATGCCGGACACTTTTGGCGAAAAACAATTTCTTCAGATTATTTGGTCTGTACTTAAACATGGACGCCATTTACTAACAGAAGTCATTATCGACTCTAATGTTATCGTAGGCAGAATTCATTATTCAGAATTAAGCTCGTTCTTTTGCATGCGTTCGCGTTTCACGAAGTACTCTCGGTCAAATGTTTCTCATTGTTACTGAAGTTTCACAATGCAGTGCATGACTTCTTAGGATTGTTGCAAAAGTGTTTACCGGGTGATCTTTTAATTCCTCTAACCGATACTCTGCAATCACCCGTTCACAAATGCACTCAGATGTCCAGCTCGTGTTATGACGGGTCGGTTGGGCTCCACAGTACCCGAAACACGTCCGAGCGCTTTAGCAGGTCTTTTGGAATCCCCGACACGATTTGAGACCGAGCTGTTCCCCGTGTCACACGATGCTTCGTCCCAAGTATTCTGCCTTCCTCCAGACGGTTGTCCAAAAGGTTTCTCACATCCGAGCACACAATCACTCAAACGGTCCGCTTTCCTCTCGCCGGATGCGCACACAGATGTGTCCGACTTCCATTTAAACGGTCAATCGAAATTTCGAGTCCACGCCAAATCGGGCCATCTTCGTCCGGTGGAATACAAGGTTCATCGATTGCGGTTCCGCTGTGTCATCCGATTGTGCATCGAACGAGCTTGGTGCTGTTGGGTAGGTTGAGGTGTATTCTTTTTTTTCAACTCCAGGTTTGGAGGAGGGGAACATTTGTTTTGGAAATTACCCCCGCAGGCAGAAGCGTGTTCATTCAATCAGATTGTCGCGGAAAGAGTGAAGAGAACTCAGTTTTGGCTGACCAGACGCTTAGTCATTTACACAATCGAGTGTTGCTCGCGTTTCTGTGTACATTACTTCAGTTTCTGTTCCAACTCGAGAGCCCCTTTCAAGAGTGACGTATTTTATTTTTGATCCTAGGGATTCCAGAACTGGAGTCAGCTTCCCACACACAGTAAGTGCGTCCTGATTCATGGAAATGCGCATAGTTGGTAGTCCACAGACTGAACAAATGTATTAAATTCACGAAAACTGTTTGTCCTCAACTCTGATACCTGCCAAGCTCGGTTGTGTACAGATATTAACCTGTACAGCACATGTATCAACTCTCAGCAATTTGTCTCACGGTTTGATTTTTACCAGGCATACGGGGTTCGAATGCTGCCAACACGTCTGGATCAATATGGTACTATCCGATGCTTAGAGTATCGTGCTTGGTTGAGCCCACTGCATTGTTTACAGGCACCCAACGCCGCTAGTGGTCTTATGAGTGGATTTTGTTTTTCTCGCGTTTTTTGACTGCTTTCCTTTGTTGGAAAATCCAATCAACTAAATCAAACTAAATTTTCCTAACTTACTGAGTAATAAGCTCTGGGTGTTGACTTCCAACCGAGCAGCCCAGATAGGGTTTCAACTGGAAACTGAACTGACCACTGTTCCCGTCCGGACAAGGAACTAACAAGTAAGCACCTCTGACCAGTCTGAACAAAATCGAAACAGTTGTTCAGTGCGCTCCTTGACGATCAACACAAGTATCCACAAAGTATCCACAGATAAGTGTCCACTACCGATTTATTTTCCCGGTAATTTTTTGTGATAAAGGAGAAGCCACCGAAATCGGCTGTAAAATGCGAGCGGTTACGATATCAATTGTCTGTTGGAGATGAGTCGTTTCAAACTGTAGATTTTTTGTAATGCGAAAAAGCAGAAAACAAAATGTTTTTAGTCCTACCGTCTAGCATCCATCCCCTTGGAGTTTGGAATATTGGACCTCATAAACCCCAACCAAAGTCGAATGATTGGAGTTGTTGAGGTTTGAGAAGGACCACAAGATAGCAAGTTATCCGAATAGAAAGGCTTCCAATTCACAAATTTCTAGTCTTTTATATGTATTGTGTATTTTTGCACATTGTTAACTTAAAAGCGTTGGAGATGTTTGTGATAACCACCAAAGAGCACTTGACAGCTGTTTCGTTCTGTTAGGGTTTCACCAGCAGTGTGTACTTTTGTGTCCCTGTCAGGACTCGAACTGCGAACCTTCGGGGTGGGGCTTCAAACCCTTACCCCTGAGCAATGCGGACTTCGGCCATCACCTTATGCGAATCGCTCAATCAATTTAGACGGTGAATGTTTGGATTAGCTCAATCCGCTTTTTACAGGCACCAGGTACTGTTTATGATCATATATGAGGGTTTCAATCCTTGGGAGATTGTTAATTCTCCATTAGCTGAAAGCATTTAAATGCGTTGCCTGTGAAAACCCTGACGAGTTAATTCGAACATTCACCATCCAAGTTGATTGAGCCATTCCTACAAGGTGATGACCGTAGTCTGTGTAGCTCAGGTTTAAGGAGTTCAAAGTTCTGACACAAATGTTTGAGGTTCAAGTCCTAACAGGGACACAAAAAATACGCACTGCTAACGATTCCCAAACAGGCGAAAACAGCTGCCCCAGCATCGTTAACTATTATTATATAACTAAGTAACGATCAAAGCCTATCCAACTACAGATCCTATTAAAATGTGGGCCGAACCATAGTTACGAGAATTTTATTCTGTAGACATCGTCTCAAACTATAGCTCCAAATGTCTTCCGTGGATTCTGTGAAACTGAATAGGTCTTATTCATTACAAATAATTTAAACAGGACATTTGCCTCTTGATCGATTATAGCGCATTCAATTGATTTTTCTCGCTCTCGTTCGAAAACTGGCTATCTATGTGTTAGACAAAACTCCCCGGTTCTTGTCAAAAGATCCCGCGCCAAACAGTATTTTGTTAACGTTCCATCCATCACTGCCGAGAAGTGGAAACCGAGTGACAAAAATCTCAATGAGGGGGAAAGTTTTCAATAATTTTTGTTCTTTTCACTACTGCTCACGAGGTTAACTCTCTTATGATGAAGTTAGAGGGTGGTTCGAGAAATTTCTCACAATCTTTCCATTCATCATTCTCTGTCCTAATCCCAGCCTGACAGGCTGATGGGAATGCTTGAAACAGAAGGACTAAGAATGTCTACTTTCCAAAGCGTTAGCGTTAGTGATTTGTTTCGATGATCAGTTTAATTTCAAGTTGAATCCATTATGCGCACACACGCACATGTCACAGACAAACAGCTTCGATTTACCCTGAAACTGCATCTCGGTTCAGCATCCAGCATATTTCTTATTTCAATCTTGGGCAATTGATGAAGTCGTTCTCACTACCACAAAAACAAAAACCAGAAAGCCTCACCATTTCGTTCGGGTGCTTTCCCCGATTCCCAAAGAACGTAACGGTAGCAAATTCACATTGATTGTCTGCAAATAGCAGACAGCTGAGTTTTTTGGATTGACCAAAATGTTTACCGGATTAGCAAACATACACAAATTACATACTTTGATCAAAATTTACTGAAACCATTCATATATTTTCAAAGAAATGCATGCGACACTAACTTTGTGGATACGATGTAAGAACTGGGCCTGAGCAAATTAGTTTTATCGATTATTGAACGCACTAATGAATAATTAAAGATTGTAACGAAAAGCTTCCTCTAGTGTGTGGAATGTGTGTGCGGACATTCATCGTTTTTGTTGAACAGAGTTATGGTATCGTGTGATCGGTAGCTTAGCCCCAAAGACTGGGATTGTCGCAAGGTCAGTTGGTAGTTACCCTCCTCCCTAATCTCGCTAATTTGTTTCATACAGGGAACAAATAAGGAAGCTTCAATCAACTCTCAGCCATATATCACACTAGCCTGTGGTCGCCCAATCTCACTTATTTGTTCGCCATGTAGTGTGAGTCCGTCAACTACGCTTGCATGACACGCTATAATGCAACTCACTTCTTCTCGACACAGAGAATAAAACTCCACAGTGTGGTGAGACCCAGTAAGTCTTTTGTTTTTCTACGGTTTTAATTCAGTTTCTTTCTAATTAATGGTATCGAGAATAAGCCGGGCGTTTTCAATACTTTGTTTTACAGAATGTAAAGTTTCATTCGGGGGAGCAAAATAGAACTAAGGAGCTTCATGGTATTTGGTTTGGTATTTCGTTTTGTATTGCGCGGACATACTTGCGTGTATTACGTGAAGCAAATATGTTCATTCATTAACCTTTTTCGGACTATAGTAAGCCTTTGGGCCACGACAATAATCGATAAGTTAACGTTCATTTATCATTAAAAGAAGATGAAATTTTTGAAGGAAAGATTCCAGGAAACAATATTCTATGGGCTTTAGCAAACAAATATCAGCTGTGCTCATTAGATTGGTGTTTCACAGTTTTGGCAGAAATTTCCTGCGTTTATTGATTTGTAATTGCATCATTACACTTGATTTGTATTGCGCAAAGTCAATGTAGTCTTCTCCCCAAAGGGGGAACCATTGGAAACATTGTGGTGCTGTGTTTCTACCTGTTAAAAACCGGTGACAATGCGCATAAACTGAACCCACGATGAATCGACTTCGAGCATGAGAAAATGCTTCTCTTACAATATGTGCCTTTTGAGCTATTGAAAATGGTCACTGACATCAAAAATACAAATTCGTTTTCGGCAGCAACTTCGATTCGATTTGACAAACCTCACCGGATGATAAACAACTTCTTGATACACAACTTCTCAGCAGGCACCTGCCACCACGGATTACACCTAAGAAAATTATACCAAGCGATTTGTATTTTATGTTCTATTTACGCTAGTTGCAAAGAACTAATGGGAATGGTTGAACTGAATTAATAACACCGAGCAAGGCAGAAATTTGTTCCGCTAAAACGTAAGCAACCGCTTTTTCTGGGACTCTATATAACGAATCCAATCCAGGTTGGAGAATTCATTGGGCGTCTTTAGCCTTTCTTTTCTTTTGTCAAACTGAAGACTTCCAATCAAAATAACCGTTTCCAGCTTTTGTTTTCATGTGTCATCAAACATCCAACCAGTTGGGAGTCTATATGTGTTGCAAAGTAATCGAAATAATAGATTAACATGCCGGCGTTTTATCAATTTATCGACTGAATGAGACGTTCGTGAACTAGTGAACTCCAGATTGGCTCTCGTTACGGTTTACGAAGTGCTCATCCGGTCTTTCCTTTCTAACGCCGCTATCCCAACCAACCCACTACGAATTTGACCATATCCACTTTATCCGATTTTTTTCGATTCTGTCCTCAAAGAAAAGTATTCAGTTGTTAACTGGAAATCTTCAAATAAAGTGTGCAGCAACCATATCTATCACATCAACGAATCTTGATGACAGTGACCGTATTTCAGCACACAAATAATATACAATAGCAGTGATGATAGAGGCCTCAAAAAACCCCGATGTTGATACTTTCCTTCAGTAAAAACGTTTGCTCTAAGTTATCAACTCCTGGCTCGTCTTCAAGGCGATCGATGAGCTGTTTTATCAGAATATAACAGCAACCTTCTATCAACTTCAGTGAAGCGTTTCAGTAGTAACACCTTTGCACAAATGGTTCCAGCAAGGCTTCGAAGAACTCATGCTTGATGGAGTGAGAGAGAGAGAGAGAGCGCGACATTGTTTTCAAGCAACTTATAAGCTATTAAGTCTGACAAAAGTATCGAACAAATTTGTCTGTATTTAGCATAAACACAAATTAGGTATCCCTATGTCTGTCATGCAATTTCAATGATCAAACAGGGTCTGAGGTAAGCCTCGGG